AGCGGCTTTTCTCAGGCATCTCATTTCACAGGTGTCAATTTTTCGTAGGTTAGCTTTTGATAATGTCTGTTAGCAGAGAGTTGGTATGAACATGCTGTTTATATTATGTTTCTTGGTGTTCATACTTATGTTTGGATGTATATAAGTGCACTGGCTCGTTGGCACTGCAGTTGACATCTTCTTATTGGTGAGTATCTTCTGCATCTTGCTATGGCAATTCTTGTTCTAACCTCTAAAAGGCATCCTGCATTAAATGTTACGGCTGCTCCAAAAATGAAGGAGGCTTCAAATGAAAACCTTACAAGTGTGATTAAAAATTACAATAACCATGCCACCATCTTGCAATCTTTCAATGTTGTTGCTAATAATGACAAGAGCGTTCAGCACGTGACATTACAGTGACATCATAATGACAGTGTAAAGATGACCCTCCAACTTCTGACATGCAATAAAGAAAATCTGACCTTTTTTTTAAATTCACTGAAAGGGTGGAACCTATAGAATTCACCAGTGACTAAAGATCCAGTACAGTGATGCTTCCCTGTCAGTCCAGTGACTGTGTGAGTGAAGAAGTAAGTTTCAGAACAGCTGGGCTCACTACTCGGTGTGCTCGATCTGGCCCTCAACAGCGAGTCTGTCACAGGAGTCATGCGCAGACTGCACCTATTTAAATCAAATAGGCAGTGACAAAGTGGCTATCGACTTCACCTTCCAACACAGTGGTTATAAGTTGGAATGCCCAATAAGCCGGATTTTATAACCCACCCCCAAAATGTGTAATCACACAATTCACAGCCTAAAAATTATACTCTTTCAAAAGACAGTGTCTACAATGTTAATCACAAATCTGCTTCAATCCCCCCCCCCCCAACCAAATCATACAACTTACAGCCTAGAATAAAACATGTTATCAACTAAATAAAGTCTCATAACTTGACACCCCTAACCTAATGTCATTCTTTCTGCATTATTTCAGGCAGCTGCACAAAATAGATATCACAAAAGACTACTGCTGTCAACGCACAACAGAAACTGAACACTAAAAACAGGAAAACCATGAACAGTTATACACACAGGATGATGTCATTCCAAAGCACTGACCTCTACTCTTGTAACAGAGAGACATGTATATTGTCTTCACAAATATGATTTGTTTTGACTTTTCTGCTCAGGACCTAGGAGTCGCTGTGGCTAGACGCTCGAGTGCTGAACAGAAGGTCGTGTGTTCGCTCCCTGGTGGAGCCAGTTTTTTTTTAATGACTGACTCCCAGGTCAACCCAGCCTTGAGTACGGGGTGTAGTCCCAAGAAGTAAAGGTGGCCGGCGTGAGGCTGACCACATCACTCATTATGTGCCGATTGGTCTACAAAAATATAGGTCTAGCTCTATAAGCCTAAAGACGTGTATTTTGACTTTTCAACCAGAACAATTTTTTGTAACTGTTCCACACAGAACAAGGGTGATTATTTTATTAACTGTTCCACACAGAACCAGGACGATTATTAGGGTTTGACTGTTTCACACAAAACCAAGGGGATTATTTTTGTTTGACTGTTCTACACAGAACCAGGGTGATAATTTTGTCTGGCTTTTCTACAAAACACTAGGATGATTATTTTATTTGGCTTTTCTACCTGCAAGATTTTAAATTTTCCAAGCCATTATATAGCCCGTTCATGTTATAAATTATTTTGACTCACAGATTCAGGCTGAGTTTGTTACATTTTTCAAATCACCAAATAGTTGTCAATATTATACATTATTACCTTTTTTTTCCTACACTGGGTAATTGTTGAATAGTTTTACTTGAAGACATTTATCAGAGTTTATTCTGTTGGTCTTCAAATATGGGTTTTCAGCAAAAGAAACAGATTCCTTTGTTGATTGAATTTAAATCATTTACATATCAACTATATATGATCTACATAGAAAGCTATATTTACGTCTTTTTTTTAAATATTTACTTTAAAAACAATTATGCTGACTTTCTCAACTTTTTTTTAAAAACCTTTTCCAGGAAGGCTAACGCAGTCAACAAATGCCTGCAGAAGTCAGATGTGTTGGCTGAAAATAACAGATAATTAGGGTTGTTTCCTTTAAAGTTGGAGAGCACATCTGCATACAAATAAAGCAGATCTGTACAACGATGTGCATGCAAAACAAGATCCACGTCCATGGACAAATGAGAAGTGAACAAATCACAAAAGTCACCCTTATCTCGTCTGCCACGTGATTTCGTAGGTCATTTCCCAGGACACTCATAGTCTAGGGGTGTCACGTGTTCTTCGTTTTGACTGTTTTAAACAGATCCCCCAGCAACGACAGCCACTGCCAACAAGCGTAATAATGTTTTTTTTAAAAACATCAATGATTCTACACTCACGAAGCGCGGCACCTTCAGCTCTTCCCCCTGCAGTACTTCTTCGTATGCAGGCAGTTTTGGTGCCTGAGAGCTATTATTCACAGAAAACAGGGTTGTCTTTAGGGGGAAAAAATCACTTCACTGACTGCAGGAATCAATCTTCAGCTTCTAAAAGTTATTATTTTTATTTGAAATATTACTACGTGTTGCCACTTTGGATATTTTACATCCAGATTTAGATGCTTTTCTTTGCATTTAGATGGCGTTTTTGACATTTAGATGGTAGATGTCTTTCTAGATGTTTTTATTTGGAGTGAATTTATGAAATCTAACATAAGAAACAGGATGAAATTTGACTTCTTAAATGCTATCTTGACAATAAAATTCGGCCAGATAAGAGTAGGAAAAGGCTGTTCCACTTATCAGCTCCCTGATTGGGTATTAAAGGAAATTGGAACAGCTAAAGCATACCAGTCATTTTGGATCTGAAGCTTCCACTTTATCATCAGAGCTAAGTTTATCCTGTGGATCTTGTGAGGCAGACAGTGAAGATGAGGACATGATTCTATAGGGTAAGTCATATCAATTGCTATGTAATTTGTGTCTTTTTCCATTTGGATGTTTTTTCCTAAATGTTTTCAAATTTAGATGTTTTTAGATAGTTTTTGACTCCATTTTGGATGTTTTTTTGTCAAGGAAAAGAGGCAACACTGATTACTACCACTACTACTATTATCAGCATTATTATTTATTATTGTTGCTCTTTATTTTGTTGTGCAACACTTTTTCTTATTCCTATATTTTATATTCCAGCACAATTATTTAACTGTGTGGGGACTGCTGTCTATGATTCTTCTTCCTGTGGTGCTCAAGAAATGCTTCGGTTAAAATATGTCATAGTTTATTCAATTTATTTTCAAGTACAATCATACATGGCACTGGACTGATAAACATAAAGAATATCCCAAGACACATGGTGAATTGTTTGGGACAGACAGTTACAGTGAATCAAATGAGAGTCTCTTATATTTTTCACATTCAATCAGATCCTGTCCCCCAGTACATCCTCCTAGAACTGCCGACAAGGCATGCACGTTCCCCCTCCCTACAAAACACAGAACGAATTTATGATTCCTTATAAACAATAGATAATTTCTTCTACGTATAACTGTACATCTATATTCTAAACTAGGAATGAAACAGCAATTATAAAGTACAGGAAAATATGTCTACATAGCTATTTACTTTCATCTGTTGGATTCTGTATCTCTCTGCCTCCCAATTTGTTTGAATTCCTCAGCTTATCAACTTTCCAAGCTCATCTTGTAGGCAGTTAAATACCTGACAGCAATAAATTCTAGATTTTAGGGGGGGGGGGGTCCCTTTAGTGCCTAAAATACACCACATCTTTTACTGTTTGGCGTCTCTTTCAGTACATATATAAAAGTTGTGCGACCGAAGAATCTGTAAAGCAACATAACTTATCCTAAAGGCCATTAAAAGCTCAAAGCTAACAATTACGGTTAACAAGTGCCCTGTTTGTTGGCTTCAACTAATGTAATATACTTTTATTAACTTTTTGCGGCCCATCCTGTTGTTGCATAAACCCATTCAGTCCCTATTCTTAGTTTACACTACAGCTGCCCTATAGTGTTATTATTTTAACCCCTATGACCTGGACACTGATAACCTAAAGTCAAACCTGCTATGTAATGAAAGAGTTAACAAGTCTTTAGGAAATATTTGGAGGTGACAGGTCTGAGCCAGGTACAGTAACTACAGCTTTTGATTTCTATGCTGTTCAATGTGTCCTCCTGAGGAGCGGCTGCCCAAGTGTTTAGAATGCCAGGCTTTCATGTGCCAGGCTTTCATGTGCCAGACTTTGGTGTGAATCCTCAGTGAGGTGATGGATCAGTTTTCTGTTAGGGGCAAAAATAACCATCTTAAACTACCATGACGCCCTCAATGTTTAGGCTGAGGACCTTCTGCCCTTTAATCTCCCTAAAAAGTGGCACCATAGGAGGTACGCCCCCATTTTTTAAAGTGTGACCTCCTATCTCATCTCAGCATTTGTGGCTTAGGAATTTTGAGCCAGCTTCATAATGCTGAGCTGCCAGCTTGATCTCAACTGCAGGCAATTTGGCAGCAGACCGGCTTGCATTGGGTTTGACAGTGGCATTGAGAGCCGACTGTCAGTATGCGATAGCAACATTGCTGAGCGTAAAGTTGCCTAGGATATGCAATTAATTTTTTTTTTTTACTCCTATCTCTAATTCTTTTTTCTGCATTTATGGGTGCCATTCAAAACAGTTTACAATGTAAAAATTATTACATTGGTCTGCAGACGCCCAAAACATAAATCAATGTTAAACCTGAGAAAACACCCCTAATGAAAACTGTGCACCTCCAAACATACATTCTCTTGATTACTTGTCAGTACAGCATGCTTGCCAAGCAAGAATCAAGCCTCAAACACAAAAAGTTTTGTGATGCCAGACCAACTACGGAGTTGATGAGATAAATGGCTGACTGAATATACGTATGACTCGACCGCCTGAACATCTGTTGTGTCTGAGCAGGCGAATGAACTGATGATTAGGAGTGTCTGCTCTCCTTGAGTCCCTGGATGTCTCCTTGTGCTAGAGTATGACACAACAGTTACTACAACTAGAGTCCCCGCTCTTGTCTTTCTTCAGTTGACCTGCAACAACAAACAGGCAAAAGTCAAAATCATTTAGTTTTATATACTTGGCTTTCTTCAGTTGACCTGCAACAATAAACAGGCAAAAGTCAAAATCATTCAGATTAACAATCATCTCTTCCTTCAGATGACCTGTGAAATAAACAGACAGCAGTGAAAAACATTCAGCTCAACATGTGTCTTTCTTCAGCTGACCTGTAATAATAGAAAAACAAGTCAGTGTAACATTAATATCTTTCCCTAGCTGACCTGCAACCATGAAAAGATATAAAAGTCAAAAGACTTCATTATAACACTTGTTTGTCTTTCTTCAGTTGACCTGCAACAAGAAACAAAGGTTAAAAAAAAAATCATTCAACTAAACAACCTGTGTGTGAAAAAACAGACAGCCGTGTAGAACAGTGTAAGACTTAACTTTTTTCAGCTGACCAGCAACCATGACAAGATATAAAAGTCAAATGCATTCAGTGTAACACTCTTGCCTCCTTTCAGTTGAGCTCCATTTAGTAAACAGTCATCTTTTTCTTCTTTAGATGACTTACAACAATAGATAATGTGATCACAGTCTAGTTGTAAACCAGAATACAATGTACCATGTCCTTTTAAGGGTGGATGATGCAGAAAAAGCTGCCGCCACAGATTAGATGGAATTCAATTATATAACAGAATCATGAACAAGGAGTGAATCAACAGGTGAGGAAAAGATGCTGAATCTGGATAAGACATACACTGAGAAAGCCTAATCACTATATAACTAGAATGTCTTTGCAGTAAAACTTCCATGGCTAAAGAAATAAAGGGAAACAAAAAATCACATGGAGAAGAGACTGAGAGACAAAAGTGAATATGATGGGGAAGACGAGAAGTAAGCTGCACAAGATGATAAAGGACAGGAAGGCTTGGCATGTTTTGGTTGATGACCTAAGCTCCATTAAAGAAAGGGTTAGAAGAATGAAAAATCTTCAGTCAAAACAATGATGCCTGAGGCAATTAAAACTACATGGACACTTAACATCTTCAAAGATAGGACTGTGAATGGCAAAGCAAAGTCAGAATAGATATACATGGCAACAAAGAATGGGGAAAAAAAATAAAGCACATACCAGCATTCATCTAGCAACTACATCAAGCATCATTGATGTCATGAAGATGCTGACGAAGAAAGAAGAAATATGGACCCCAGCCTGAATACAATAATACATCACTTAAAAATCCCTGTGATACCAGGGTTTCTAATTTCAGACAACGTATACAATCAAAGATGGTCTACCTTGATTGTTCGGCTCAGGCAAGTTTTCCCTGGCTACAAGGTGCATCACAGTGGTTTTTCCTGTTGGTAGTTGTAGAGCTGTATAGAAAAATATATCATCATGAGTAATCAGGTAAAAGAGTTTCAACTTCATAGCAAAGGGGTCACCCTACAGTTGGTCCGTTCCTGTGCTAATTAAAACCAAACGGACGTTCCTGTGCCAATAAAAAACAAACGGAATGTCCATCACTGTTCCTTGCGAACAAACTGCAGTCTTAACATACAAAAAATCATACTCACACATTAAATGCATTAAGTGCCAACACAAACAGTCTAACACCAGAAATGCAGTTCATTGGTCAATGTAAGCAGCACTTACAACAGACCAGTAGCTGCACAAGCAATTAACTGCATAAGGTACCACAAGCTCTCTGGCAACAAAGGCCATTTTCTCAATCTGCAGTTGACAACACAAACCATGCTGTGCACTGATAAAAAGCACCCCAAATGAAATTCACAGATCACAGTGTCAAGCCATGCACTCAACTCAGTAACATAAATGTATCTATTTACATATTGAGTAAAATGCAACAGCCAACTATTGTCAGAAGAAGAAAAACTTGCCACTATTAAAAACAGTAAACCCCACCTACCCGCCATATCATGAGTATTAGTTCTTTATAAATGAAGTAGTTTCTATAATCTCATTTCAAGCTGATTTAATAACTCAATGAGTGCCAAGGAACTCACTTAATTTCTTGGTTTCTACTTACACGAAATGTTCTTACAGAAAAAAATTATTTATAAAACGTCCCACAAAAGCAGGCTTAGAGTGTAGAGAAACCACAATGATCAGATCAATATAGAAGGTTTATGGGCTGAAAGACCTCACAGTCAAAACAGTTAAGCTTCACATTTCACTTGTGACAAGCAAAGGTTGGGGGTGTAACATTTCAATTACAAAATTATTGGCCATTGTGTCAAATATAAAAGCAATCACTCATCTCTATCAGTTTGTACTTCTTTTACTTGACTTAGTAATTAAAACAAAATGATAACTTTAAAGCCAAAAATAATTTTACTATCTCGCAGTCATTACTGAAGAAAATAGAGGCTTCAGAGCTAAAATGCTACAGAAAGATTCCCAGAATACCAGATCAAGAAGAAAAGAAATAATGACCGAAAAGATCTGGATATCAAGGAAGACTGGCTAATAAACATCATCTTGTCTCAGAAAGTGAAATATTTTGGCCACATAAATCGGCACTGTGGATTAGAAAGAACAAGTGGGGGTGGCAGTGATAATAATTTATAAGCAAAATACTTTTCTCTTGTAGAAAACTAATAAAACAGCATTGTAACATGGTCAGAGCTGAAGACAGTCCAAAACATAAATTTACTAAAAGGTAAAAATGAGAAGGATATTTTGACTGGCTCAAAAAAACAAGCGGAAGCCATGGAAGCGCAGCAGCTAAATGTCTTGTGTCTAAATCCGTATCGAGGCGAGGCAATCATTTTTTTTCAAAATTACATCTGGCTCCCAGCCTAAAATGGGTACCGGTCAATGTCCTGGGAAGTAAAGACGACCAGCAGTATGGTGACCACATCATCTATTAAACACATAAAATGGGTCCAAACTTTTCTTTTTGAGATTACCAGTAAGTAAGTACCACAACTCTTACCTGTCAACGTGACATTTCCGTGCAAGAACCTGCCTTGATAAATAAGCCGCAATATGTTGGTGGGTGGTAGTGGTTCTTCTGACCAATCTGGAGAGAAAGAAATATTTGCAGTCAGAGAATCAGTCATGAAAGGAAATACGTTTTCCACACCTTTAGGCGTATTGGGAATACAGAGTTGGACCTATATTTTTATAGACCAATCGGCACTTGGTGGGTGATGTGGCCAGCATCACGCCCGCCGCCTTTACAATCTAGGGCTGCACCTGGTACACACTCAAGGCTGGGTCGACCTGGGAGTCAAGGTCATTTTTGAGGGAAAAAAGTCAGGCTCCGTTAGGATGTGAACCCATGACCTTTCGATCTGCAGATGGGCGTCTAGCCCTAACGCCACAGCGACTCACCATCCACTACCTTGACTTGTATGAACTTTGCCTAAAAAAACAAACTTTAAAAACACCTCTCCATCAAAAGCCAGATGACTTTAAAAGATCTGAACATCAAAGAAAGCCAGCTTATTAAAAGCATCTTGTCTCGGATACTGAAATATTTTGGAGATTTCAAACATCATAATAGCGAGAAAGAACAGTAATTTAAAGGCAAGGTCCTAGAAATGAGAGGCAGGGGTCAACCAGTATGAAGGCGGGCACAGGAAACACATTGGTCAGAAAAGTGCACGAGGCAGGAGAACTGACAAGGGACAGAGCTTCTTTTGGGTGGTATGAGAATAATGGTTTGTAAAGGACCTGCTACAAGATGCTGACAAGCCAGATGCCCTGTCTGTGCTGCGGGTGACCTATATAGAGGCAGAAGCAGCAGCAATGAGAAGTAATCTCAGAGGCATAGGACTCTCCCTTTATCCCTTTCTTTCAACTTAAATAATTTATCACCCTTATTCTTTTTTTTTTTATCTTAGCGTTACCGGTTGTAAACTCCGGCTGTTTGTCCACTTCTGGACGCTGGTACTGTTTAGAACTCGAGTATATCCACAGATCACAGATCTGGCTTATTTGTCTGCAGACTATTGGCTTCTTGTCTCTCAGGCAGATGCACCCTGAGAAGAAAACTCACCTAATTAGTCTCCATGGCTAACATGCTTGTTAAGGAGGCAGGGATCTGCTCTTTTTTTGGTAGTTTCGTGGTATTCAATATGGCCGGCAGTCGGTCTACGACCATGTAAGCTGATAAAATACCTTTACATTCTACATATGTATAGCCAACTTATCAGGCCAAACTACTTCCACCAACGACAAACTGCACTTCTGGTGGCGACTGTTGGCTATGGCACCTCTAGCAACTGCCATATGCATTTAATGCGAGCTCATATTTCTGGATTGTTCCAGGACTAATTGTTTGTTCACCAGTTTTTCAAATGTGACTGTCATGTCTCTACGGACCACAAATACTTAACTCTTGTATTACAAGCCAGCTTACAGCTCACATTATTAACTCTTCATGCTGTAAACATTTCCTGCACCTTTTTTGCTTCCTCGATCCACTTTATTTCCCCATGTTTACTCATTCTGCCCCATAGGTTTTCACTTGTATCTCATTTAAGCTCACGGACCAATACTTCAAAGCACAAAAAATATGGGCGAAAATCTGTGAAGACAGCAATCTGAGTACCAAAAAATCTGAGCGAAATATTGAGAAGACAAAAGATAAAATGATGACAGGCGAGTTCACTAGACTAAAACATCAATATTCAACATTATCGGAGAAATAGCCGGAGGAAGAAACTCAAGCAGGCGTGATGTACTGCAGCAACACTATACCCAGTTAATGGCAGTTTAATCTTCTTAGTGTCAATTTGTAATTGAAAAAACACATCAAGCTCTCAGACAAGGAAAGAGCACTCCTACAACTTTCTCCACTTTTTTCCATGAAACGTACAAATCATTTCTCCTAGTTAAATTACACCGTAAAAGGTCACCAATAGGTGAAAATCTTAATTGTCTCCCTGTGGCTTCAGATGTAAATAAAAGCCAGAATGTGTTTCTTCTTAACTCTTTCAGTTAACAACAAGCATGTCTTCAACATTATATACATAAATTTTTGCCTGAGTCTAAAATGGTGCAAATAATGCTATTATTGTGGGCGCAGTGCTCCCATTCTGGGTGGGAAAAACAGAATAGAACCACTGCTCTACTTAACACGCATGTCGTAAAAGGTGACAAATACAGTTTTTGTGTTGGTTTGAAAGGTTGCAGATGTCGCAGCCTAACTGTGAACCACAAAGGCATTTACATTGCCTTTATAACCCCCCCAAGACAGGACATTTCCGGTTGGGTCAAATCCCTCATGATGTCACTTTTCCAACTTGTCTAAAGTGAAACATTTGTGAGAATGCAAAGTTAATGCTACTGGCTGTGTTCGCACAACATTTAGGAAGTCAAGATCTGAATACATTAACTAACAACAGGGGGAGGGTTCCCATCTGAGCTAAATGGCTTTATTATTTTAAAGACAAGCTGGCCTCAGATTTTCTTAACAGCCTAAGTAATAGAGGTCATTGTATGAGTCACTGGTTTCATGTGTGTATATTGAGGCCCTGGGGGATGCATTCCATTTATTGCTTCCCCCCTTCATGTTTTACTAATTACTCCTTTCATTTATCTTTAAATATTTTTGCCCGGCTCGCTAGCGCAGTTGGCTAAACCGGACTGTGTGGCGACCGGGTGACGGACTCCTTGTGGTCCAGTTTCACAGAAAAGCCACATTCCTCCCAGATTTACGGTATCTATCATGAAATCAAGGCCGAAGGGTTGTGATATCCATAGTACCGAGCCAAAGGGTTAACACAACTCATGGTTTCCGGATACTAAAAAACAAACACACACACACAAATCTTTAAATATTTCAGAAAATAACTTACAAATGTAGGTAAGTACACTTTTTATGAATTTATTAGTGACCTGTGAAAAAAAAATTGTTCCTTTAAAATTTTGTTAATGGCTGGGTTTTTTTTTAACCATGTTCCTGGGGTAAACGATAACGGGCAAAGCAGAAGGATAAGACTCCCAGCCTGTAATTACTGATGTCTTTCTATCTCTAAATTTATTTTTAAGCAAGAAAATTTACAAATGAACGAGTTAAAATATTACCACTATTTTAACAAATGTGGTTCTGGAATCCTTATAGGGACAGGCTGCAGGTGAAAGAGTTAAATAACCACTCAGTAAACAACACTGTCTGTCTGACAACAATACACACAGCCAGAAAAACAAAAAGAAATTAAATACCAGAAAATGTCAGGTCTGTCTTGTGACATTGGAGGTGGGTCAGCATAGCCTTTACTTTGGAATTTATCAATATTCACTCTGGCCACATCACGATTTTCTTGATGTGCAAGTGTATTTATGTGTGCATTTGTAGGTGCGCTAAGAATAGATCTGGAATTTACACCTAACTGACACAAAGAAGTTTGGGTGTGGTGTAAAAACAAAAACCCACACTGGAGAAGAAAGTGGATGTATATTATTGTCAGCCTGTTGTACATCAGACAGGACTTAGGGTCTCTGTCTCCATTCTGTTCGATCCTGTGCAATCATGGATGAAATCACCCCATGTGGGTTCCAGGGCCCCATTGTCGGGGAGGGGGGGGGGGGGGGGGGGGGGGGGTTGGAGAATTGCACAAAATAACAGATCCATTGCCTTCCCCGGAGGAACCCACATGGCTGTGGCCCAGAGGTTAGTGGATGTGTTTAACAATGTCATGATCCTCAAATACTAGGGTTTCTATATCATCTTCTGCGTTCATCCAAAAAATGTTGCATTGTGCCTGTTTACAGCATGGCTGCGATATTTGCATCTTTCAGCCAACACATCCAGCTTATGCGGGCATTTGTTGACATTGGTAGCCTTCCCAGAGACTAGAGTTTGATTTCCACAGTGGACAGTTTAGAAAGAGACTGTTCTCAAGGTTTTCGGACAATGGTACGAGAGTCACACCATGGAGGAGGTTGGGGCCCCACCAGGTAATAATACCAAAGACAGCAAAGGATACACTGTAGTGAACCTTCATTGTCAGGATATGGCACACTATTTCATTCCATGAAGACAATGCAATGTAATGCTAATGCTACAGGCACAGGAGATATAAACACAGACTACAAGCCTGGTAAAGAGTAGTCAAACAAGCAATATCAACAGAAACAAAGACTAAACAAACACAGAGCTTAGACACCATATCCCAACCCAGTCAATATCACACACAGATGGGTTTGAACAATAAATGGACCAAAAATCTAAAACATCCCTGAGAGCAGTGTCCACTGCAAAGAACAATTTTTAAAACATCATTAACAGCTTTGTCCATAACAATTCTGTTAAAAGTACTATGTTTTTAAATACCACTACTCGATATATAGATTATACAAAATAAAAATGGCAAAGATAACCAATTTCAAATAACTAATGCAAAACCCAGCGGCGGAGAGGATTATTTGTCCGGCACTCCGGGAAATTTCCAGGAAACTTAGAAATAAAAAACAAAAATAAAACAGGCAAAAAGAGAAAAAGTGTGCACCTTCTGGCCAGTGTGTGTAGACATGCTCAGCAATGTCTGCTGCGGAATCTGAGGGTGAGAACAGAAACTCGTGTGTCTTACCACTGACCAGGATTAGCTTCAAATTGATCTGTGGAAAGGAAAAAAGACAGATAACAAAGTTAGCAACATGGTAGTATTAATTTATTGGAGAAGAGAGGAAAATATCGCAGGTCTGTTGGTATTCTTTCTGTCTTCTTCTTTTTGTTCAACGGCTGTAAAAACAACTTCAGAAGAAAGTTATGGCTGTTTGTCAACCTCTGGACTTTAGTTTTGCTCCAGAACTTGGGTTCTACATGCGCATCCATTTGGCATGCAGATTATTGGTTCCTCGCCTCATAGGCAGATGCACTCTGACTTTTATGGAAACACTCTAATTAGTTTACTTTTATGACAGACTTCCCCCGTGTGGGTTCCGGGGGGCCATTGTGGGGAAAACAAGAATAGACCCACTGCCTCCCCAAAAGTATGTCGTAAAAGTCGACTAATTGGGGAGATTCTTTTGAAGTCGGAGTGCATCTGCCGGAGAGGCAAGGAACCGACAGTCTATTCAAGAGAATGAGATCTGTAAAACTGATGCACACGCAACACTCAGGTTCTGGAGCAGGACTGCAGTTCAGTAGTGGATGATCAACCAGAACTTTCCGACAGAGTGTACAGCTGGTGAACGCAAAGAAGAAGAAGATGACAGACTTGTTGAGGATGGGGGTGTTCTATTCTTTTTTTTTTAACTTTCATAATAGAGCACTGAAACCCACACAGAGTTGCTGGTATTCTGTCACAGATAGCTTTTTTTTTTTAACTTTCATAATAGAGCACTGAAACCCACACAGAGTTGCTGGTATTCTGTCACAGATAGCTTTTTTTTTTTAACTTTCATAATAGAGCACTGAAACCCACACAGAGTTGCTGGTATTCTGTCACAGATAGCTTTTTTTTTTTAACTTTCATAATAGAGCACTGAAACCCACACAGAGTTGCTGGTATTCTGTCACAGATAGCTTTTTTTTTTTAACTTTCATAATAGAGCACTGAAACCCACACAGAGTTGCTGGTATTCTGTCACAGATAGCTTTTTTTTTTTTAACTTTCATAATAGAGCACTGAAACCCACACAGAGTTGCTGGTATTCTGTCACAGATAGCTTTTTTTTTTTTAACTTTCATAATAGAGCACTGAAACCCACACAGAGTTGCTGGTATTCTGTCACAGATAGCTTTTTTTTTAATATTGATTATCAATTATTAGTAAGTTATTTTAATTTACCCTTTCTTATGTCTACATTTAACTAATTTTTCCATAGACAGGTATGTTAACTTAATCTTATCTTTTCACTATTACTTTAAGACAGTTATTTAACCCACATTTTACTAGTTATTTTATCAGCACTACAGGGTTTGAAGCATGGTTTGTAATTCTGCAATACCCGGTTTGATTCCAGTTGCAGGCAAGAGAGGTTACCATTTGTTGGTTTCAACATTGGAACGTAGAGTCAACTATTCAGAATAGCAATGGCAAACTGTAGAACGTAAAATTACCTTGTAAAAACACAGCCAACGAATGTTGTGGTCGGTTTGCAACATTCTGTAAAATTTATGTAATAACTTTAACTTTTATAGTTTTAACCTATTTTAACATATTCCTTCGTAGTTATTATTTTCAGACATTTATTTTAACTCACACATGACTAGTTTTTGTTTTTGATCAAAATTATTTTTACCTGTACACTATTAGTTATTATTTTCAGCCATTTATTTAACCTATATATTAGCTCTTGTTACTTTTAATTCCTGCCCTAGCCACAAAGGTTAACCAACACTTTCCTAGATATTACCTTCAGCTCTCGATTATGTTTTGTTTTTCAACCAGTAGGTTACTGTTAGTCTCCCCTCTTCCACCCTGGACTGTAAGTTGTAGGTTACTGTTAGTCTCCCCTCTTCCACCCTAGACTGTAAGTGGTAGGTTACTGTTAGTCTCCCCTCTTCCACCCTAGACTGTAAGTGGTAGGTTATTGTTAGTCTCCCCTTTTGTATCACAGAGAACAAAAGCACTTTACCGCCTGCAAGCAGCCATCAGTAGACACACTCGGCTGATGTGTATACAAGAATGGTCTTTTGGATGCCACATGTAGGATCGAACCCCAGCCTTCTGGTGGGATACCCCAGATACAATCATCAGTTATTTCTTTCACTACCCTGTCAGTCAATGAGTAGCATGTCCTTTGCATAACCTTGCTGATAAAACAACCCTCCGGATAACTTCCTGATCACTAACAAAATGCCCAGCATCCTATACACCCATCTGGAGATCACATCCTGCACCAATCTTCTCTTTGGCCTTCCTCTCTTCCAAGGCATATTAAAGGTTAGTTGCGTATCCTTTACAGAACGTTGCAAAAACCAACCCTAACAGCCCCTGGCTGTTGCGTGGTTTTTCTAGGCAAATTTACGTCCAGTAGTTTGCCATTTCTTTCTGGACAGTCGGCTTTCTTGATACCACTGTCGAAACCAACTCAAGGCCCCTGGCCTGCAGCTGGGATCGAACCCGGCATTAGGAAGCGTTCGCATCGACTTAGCCACAGAGCCAACTCCAAGGCATATACCACTCCATTATTGTTCTCTTTAAACTTTCACTATCCTGTGCTCAAGCTAAACATTTGACCCATATTTTTCTAGTTATTGCTTTCAACCCAGTTCTATTTAACCCACTCTTCAGTAGTTATTACTTCCAAATAAATGAGACTAGACAACAAGATCCTGGCACTGACAGGAAAACTGCCAATCTTTACTAATCATTTCTGGGGTGCTGAATAGGAAAATTTACTGAATGCCTCTTGTTCAGCAAACTCAGAGATAGTCATGTATAAACTACTGAGCCTGCTTATAGTACGAATGTCAGCATTTTAATAAAATGTATTTTTAACTGCAGAATGCAACATATTGCATGAAGTGCATCACATAATGTCTATCTAATCGAGGGAATTATTGCTAACCAAAAAAAAAAAAAAATCATTGCTAGTAAAACGCAAACTCTCAGAATTTGAACAAGTCATTTCAACCCCATGGCTCAAATCCAGCAACAGGGATGACTCAAAAGTGCAGACAACTGTTATTACATTAACAGAGAAGTGACATTTGCAAGCCTGAAAAAAGGTCGTCACAGCCATATAGAAAAAAAGGCATATGATTTATTTCAGATGCAAGATCGGGGACCAGGAGAAGGTCTGAGCCACACACACAGATGCTGTGGTACCTCTGTAAGAAAACTTCTAAAGTGGATGAAATGAGAAAAATCTATTGATGCTGTTTGCAGTTTCTATGGTTTGGCGTCAGCCTAGTAAAGTAAAGTAAAGATCCCTTTTCACGCCTTTAGGCGCATCGGGCATATGGGCAGAGCGTCCCATATTTTTACAGACCATCAGCACTCTGTGGGTAATGTGGTCAGCATTACGCCGGCTGTCTTTACTTTCCCAGGACAGCCCATCCTGGTACCCATTTTAGGCTGGGTCGACCTGCGACGTCCCATACCACGACCTAGCAATCATGTAAATGACTGTTGTTATTTCTACATGGTTTCACCTGTGTCAAGAGGGGTCACTAGAAGAAAAGACTATAGTGCACGCAAATATATTATAATCTGCTCAGTGACCAGTTTGTTCCACATGGTGAAAGACTTCCCGTTCCTGAACCCACAAAAATGCATTCCTCTGAAAAGTTTGCCTTCTTCGTGCAGCTGGTTTTGGGAACAATGTCTGCTATGACTGAAAAGTCCAATGTGGGAGTGGCAGTTACTGACACATCTTCCACATAAATATGTTAATACACTACAGTTCTAAGGCTAGTTTTCTCTTAGACGTCTCCTCTCTATAGCTTGTTGCGCTTGGCCTATTTCAAAATGCAACAGTCTGTCTTCCATTGCCTGTCTCCAAAGGAGTTGGTCTGCAGGTGATCTCTCCCTGTGTTTGTGCCAATGTTGATTATCTTTCAGGTTAGGTCTGCATATGTCATTATAGCGTAGCCTTGGCTTTCCTGTAGATCTTGTCCCTGTTTTCAGTTCCCCATACAGAAGATGCTTTGGAATGTGACAATTTTTCATGCGTCAGACATTTCCCAACCAATGCAGGCGTCTTTGCTTCACACAAAAAAGTACACTTTGGTTTACCTGCTCTTTTGAGTACACATTCATTGGGGACAAAGTTTCATCATGATTTACCAAGAATGCATCTCATACAGAAAGTATTCAATCTTTTTTCTTGAGGAGCTTACAGAGTACAGGATTCACTAGAAGAGTTTGAGTCAGAGATAGAAGAACCGATACTAACTGCTTTACAGCCTCCATCATGTTATTATGATCCATTCATCAGCCCCATCGCTAGCCTTCCTTCACCTGGGTAAAGATTTGACATCTTATGTTGACTACAAGCCTACATTAGTTCTATCTCCCTCCTCAATAGCCAGCAAAGAGCTTCCATACTGATAGTGGCCACAGTCAACTAGTTAACTATTTGTCTTGCCCTTGCCATGAGTTCTGAGTAGCGTCTAGAGCCTGCATCATTCTCCCCAGGTGTGGGTTTACCTTCTATTTTACTTGTTACCTTGTCCCACAGGTGAAAGATCACCTCTGTCTTGTGCAGTTGCAGTGCCAATTCCTCTTAGCTGCCTCTTATGACCCCCAGGAATAGCTACATTGTTACTGTTCTTTATTTCACTTTAATAATCAGGTGACATAAGTGATATAAGTGAGAAATGAGAATCAGACACTATGACTATAATGGTGACTTGAATATCCATCTCTGAACTATTAAAATCTACTGTGACTAGTCACACAGCCTTCCATCTTCGTAACTAAAGCTGTCCAAAATAATTAGTAAATAAGCATACAAATGACTTATTAAGGGTTTGCTGAAGCTGGATATGTTGGGTTGAATGGCGCAGATACTGCAGCCTAGCTGTAAACCACAACACAATGTGCTAACTATAGTTTTAAGGGTGAAAGCAGATAAAGACTGGACACACATTATATTAATCCTTTCACCCCAAGATGCCAGAAAAACTACATCTGGGTCCAATTCCCTGTAAAATGCCACATTTTCGACTTGTCTACAGTGATCTGTTAACGAGACGCACAGTTAATGCTGCTGGCTGTTTTCATGTCTGGGCAAACGTTTAGGAGGTCAGGATATCAATATATTAATTTTTTTAAAGTAATTATGGATTTTTCCTTCAAGACCAATTTTATGTTTACTTAGAGTAAGGTTGATGTCAAAATGTCCCATAAGTCTCAGTGACAGAGGTCACAGGGTCAGTGCATGAGTCTCCTGAAACCTATATTTTTAGAGTATGTATTACATTTAATGGTCCACCCTGTTTGTGTTTATTGTTATTCCCTTCATATGTCTTTGTATATTTATATTTTTTTTAAATTTAAATTATGAATTTATTAGTGTTCTGCACACAATTGTGTTTTTTCAAGGCCGTTTTTTTTAATGGAATTCGAATGAGTTCATGACTTTTTTTGCTTTTAGTGTCCCCGAGCCAAAGTGTTCAGACACGAGTGTTGACAGGCACGGAAAGATATTGGAAAATGGACAGAAACATTTCACCATAGAAAAGAAGCTAAAAAGCATTTCTTTTTCTTCTTGTTCACTAGCCAAGAATTCTGGTTTTTCGTCCACTTCTGGACTCTAGTCCTGTTCCAGAACCTGACTGTTGCGTGTACATCTATTTTACTGATATGCTTCATTTGTATGCAGACTGTTGGTTTCTTGCCTCTCAGGCAGATGAACTCTGCTTTGAAAGAAGCTTACAATCAGTCGACTCTTACAACATGCTTTTGGGTAGGCAGTGGGTTTATTCTTGTTTATCCCACATTGAGGCCCCGGAACCCACACAGGGAGCTAAGAGGCACAGCAGTCCAAACCAGCTGACCAACTTCTTGATGTTAATGATAATCTTTTAGTTTAATATAATGCAGACCAAGACTGCCGGAAAAAGTGTATGTTATCTGATTATCAGATATTTTCCTTGTTACGCAAACGTGTGCGCCTGCTCCAACACTAGTAGAATACTTCTGTCAGGACAAATGAAATTTTTCTAGGACTAACTCAAGATTGCATCTCTTTGTGAGGTAGTGACAGCAGTAGTAGCAGTTCAACAAAGACAAACCAGAAAAGACTGATCTGAATCTCTCAAATGATGTGATCATATGGCCCAAGAACAATCTGTGTCAGGAGTGGCCTTATCAATCACCTAAGTACCCATACATGTTCCATTTGTAGGAAAAATTAGAATAAAACTAAAGAACATTAGAAAAACACCACAGAAAATCAAGTTAAATTTAGAAATACTTAGAACGGATAAAGAAATTAAGCACCAGTACAATGTCACTTTACAAAACCGGTACAATGCAATGGAAATTATACAGACTTGATGAACAGTGGGATATGTTGCGTGAGTCAATTCAGCAGACATCAAAAGAGACAATCCCACCAACCCATAGAGTTGAAAAAAAGAAATGGATGTCAACCGAAATTCTGCAGTTGATGGATGAAAGAAGGAAGAAAAAGAATGATAAAGGAGAATACTCTAGAATACAAAAAGAAATGGTGAACAAATGCAAAGTGGCTAAAGTAGCCTGGCTGAATCAAATGTGTACAGAGATTGGGGAAAATCACAAGAAAGACACATTCCATGTACCAAAGGATAAATATGTTAACAGGAAAGATGACACGTAAAAGCACTGGATGTTTGAAATCAAAAGATGGTGACTTATTAATGTGACATAGTAATATAATTAACAGATGGACAGAGTATAAGGGGAATTGTATGATGATAATAGACCACATGTAGAACTGCAGACCAACAATGATGGTCCACCAATAATGACTGCAGAAGTTAAGGGTGCAATACATCATATGAAGAAAGGAAAAGCACCAGGGCCAGACAACATCTCACTGGAAAAAAATCGAAGCACTGGGAGATTTTGGAATTGAAATAATAAATAACCTTTTAAATTATATTTATAATAGTGGGTATATTCCAAATGACCTTTTAAAATCCATATTCAAAGCTCTACCAAAGAAATCAGGCACTTTAAAATGTGATGACCATCGCACAATAAGTCTTATGAGTCACATGACTAAGATTTTACTGAGAATAATTATGAGAAGAATAAGAAACAAAATTAAACCAGAAATCAGCGATGAGCAATGTGGATTTGTAGAAGGAAAAGGTACAAACAATGCCATATACATCCTAAGGACATTGTCAGAAAGAGCTATAGAAGTAAAGACTGATTTGTACTTATGCTTCATAGACTATACAGAAGCATTTGACTGTGTGAAGCATGAAGAAGTCATCAAACTGCTAGAAATACTGAACATTGATGGGAAAGATCTACGAATAATAAAGAATATGTATTGGCAGCAAACAGCAACTGTAAGAATTAACAACTGTTTAGGTACATTTCAAAGCATAAAGAGGGGCATACGACAAGGATGTGTACTGTCACCTGATGTTTACAATATACAGTGAATATATAATAAGATCTTTAATTGATATGCCCGGAATTGTGGTTGGTGGGCACAATATAAACAATTTACATTATGCTGATGACACCCGTTTTGATAGCAACAAGTCAGAAATAACTACAGGAAATGATAGACATTGTGGTAGAAAGTGGAAGAATGGGCCTTAGTTTGAATAATGGGAAGACAGAAGTAATGGTGGTATCAAAGAAACGAATTATTCCTAAATGTGTAATAAAAGTCAATGGTGTTATTTTAGGATAAGTACAGAAATTTAAGTATCTGGGCACATAGATAACATCAGATGGAAGATGCATAACTGAGATAAAAACAGAATAGGACAGGCAAAAACTGCATTTTATAAAACGAAAAACATCTTGTGCAATATATCCTTGTCATTGAAAGTTAGAAAAAGAATTCTTGCTTGCTACATTCATCCAGTTTTAACATATGGCTGTGAGTCCTGGACAATCGGTAGGCAGGCCAAACAATTTCTAGAGGACTCAGATGTGGTTTTACAGAAGAATGCTTAGAATACCTTGGACAGCCAAAAAGAGCAACCAAGAGGTTTTGAAAGAGGCGGGAGCCCAAAGACAACTTATCACAGACATCAGAAGGAGACATCATTTTTCGGCCATGTTATGAGAAGAGGGAAAATAGACCTCTGGAAAGATCTGTGGAAGGAGGGATAGAGGAAGACAACGAGAGAAGATACTTGACAGTCTTGTTGCATGGCATGGAGGTGTGTCGGCACACGAATTGATACATGCTGCAGGAGATCGCAGATTATGGAGAGGCATGATCGCCCACGCCAGTCGGCAAGGCACCTGATGATGATGAAGTACCCATAAATTTCAATCTACTTAGCATTGGGGGGGGGGGGGGGGGGGAAACTAGTGATCATTACTTTAAGTTTATGAAAATGTGATGCCTTGCTGGTTGACATCTTTTTAATGCTGACATAGGAATACTAATCAACTATCAGAGACAATAATAAACTACTTAATTTACCTCCAAAAGTCCCAAGGAATACATCATGCATTCATAGGTTGCTACCTAGAGGCCCATTTAAGCTTAAGGCATGATGTGCCGATTTGATCTCTCTTTACTAACCCTTGGGCATGTAATGCTAACAGCACTTGGACTCAAATAGTTTAGAAGTTTCAAACTAAAATCGATAAGTATATAATATAAACCAAACTAAGGATCTCCTATGTGTAGACGACTACTCTAAGCTCAACTCAGAGGCCAATATACAACACAGTATCACATAAAAACTAGATAAGTGACCAAACCCTCCATGTCCCATTTCCTACGAGAATACAAGGCAAAACTACAATCATACACCCTCCCCACCCCTTTTTCCAGTGAAAACATACATATAGTGGGACCAACTGCTTTAGAACTACGTATCAATCCAGGGGCTGTCTATTTATATATTAATTCACGTGCTAAGACTTCACAACATTATGCAAGTTTTTTATTCACATTAATACCTAATGGTTGTTACAGTAGTATGCTTCAGTTTTTCCTCTTGCCATCACGACACAGTTCACAAACACTTTAATACAGTAACACACTAATATATTTACTACATACACTGAATTAACAAACAAATAAATTATTCTTACCTTATCACTTGGTATGTGTCTTGTTCCCATTGTTTATGATTCTGGTAGATAATGATTCAGTTCAAATGTGAAGTATTAAGTAATTAGTAATTGGTGAGAAACCTTGCAGTCAATGAGTCAACATACATACATCCAAAAAGAAATATATCACAACAGATGCCAGCGATGCTAATTTCAAAATATATTCAAATAATTCTCAACTTATTTTTGTCCCTCGGCAGTTGAGAAGCATCAGTTCGGTCAATCGTCGGTTGTCTATAATGCTTGGAGCCGCCTAAAAAATATTTCACAGCTGACTGCTCATTTAAATTCCATGTTTGCGCCCCAGTATTTGTCTCTAGGGCCTCGGCAAACTTGGAAAATTACTGACTGAATAGACAAAAAAAAAAACAGCAGTGTCAGTGCGTAAAGGTGTCCTTATGCGAGATATCTTCAAATGTTTGTCTTAATAACTGTGAAATATTAAACTATAACTGTTCAAATTCTAAAGCTGGCGACCTAGCAAGTTTAGTAAGTTACTTGAACTGAACCGAACCCCCTCCCAGTCACACTATTATTAGTATTGTATTATTTCAATATTGTCAACAACAGCAATTACAGTGCGTCCTGAAAACCAGAGCTACCGTTATATCCTTTTTGAATCGGCACTTTAAAGCAGTGCGATAATTACGCTAAAAGCCGGTAATGCCTGATGTCCCGTAGTATATGTGCAATGGTTAGGTAAACATTCGGCATTATCAAGGGTTTGGCTCCGATCCTGGAAGGTCCGACAGTGTCAATGGCGGACCACGATCACGATCACCACCGCCGGGGAACTGTGGGTAGGCGTGACGTCATTCTACTTCCGTCAACAAAGTTCTGATGGAGGCGTAGACTGCAGAAATTGAGACTGACAAGAAGCAAACGTACTGGAGGATGCGTTAGTTTGAGTGTTTTTGTGCAGCTTTATAGTTTAGACATGTGGAATACTAACGGATTAGAAAAAGCAAGTGGATGAATTCTAAATATATGACGGGAGTTACGTCTCCTTGATGAAAAGCTGACTGTCCGTTTGCGTTGAAAGGCCCGAATTGTACACTGTACTGTACAGTGTACAGAAAGAAAGACTCAGCTGCTGAGGAAATCCGATGATTTTAGTAAGTTATTGTCATTATTCAGCAGTCTTATCTCCTCCGTGTGTTAGAGTGAAGGTAAGTACTCAGCCCGAATGCGTTACCTTAAGATTTCACACTGCAGTGACTTGGCATAGGGCACATTTGTCGATGAGATATTGAATATTGTTCACTGGTTTCGCTTCCGTCTGCTAGAACTTCTCGCGATGTCAAAACCCAAAGGAAACAGATCTTAGAAACCTCGTTTTATTTTCTACATATATCTTACAGTTACATGACTTGGTATTACCTTTATAAACCTGGATGTATTGTTTTGTTTGCTAGTAGAGAATTATAACAGGACAAGTTTGAAGCAAGTCTACGGTGTTATTCTGTGTAAACTAAACCTGTATTGTGTAGACTATAGTCGTACACGACGACTAATTCGACAGTATAGGCTTTTTATATCAATATTGCAACCGAAAAAAAAACCAGTCACTGACTGTATTTACCACTTTCTGCAGTGTAGACGATGGTCTTTAAAACCTCGGCATTTAGGGTCGCATGTGAGTACATAGTTAGTCCTGTTACTGTTACCACAGACTGCACTGTGCAGGTGAGGATTTTAATCATTTTATTTTGCCCAAATAGAACAAAATCCCAAATTTTATCTGATAAGTTATCGGAGATTTTTTAATCTAGGCCTCCCACTTGAGAGCCCTGCATTCTAACCGTTCAGCCCGCCACTGCTCAATATTAAATTATTTTTAAATATTATTATTTACATTATAAATAAGTTATAATATTATAACAGTTATTATCATCTTAAAGAAGCTAAATAAATAAATATATAAAAACTTTTTTAAAAATGGCATTTCATTAAATGAATTTATTTTCTAAATCTGGAATTTATCTTTGCCAGCTGAAGTGAGAAATAAGCTCTTAAGAACCATATAGAGTAAATCCTAGTGTAGAAAGTGAATCATGGATTTAGTATCCTCAGACTTATCAAAACCTAATTAGAGGCAGGAAAGACAGTGTATGCAGAAAAGTAAAAAGACAAATAACATGTCTAGGACACAAGGAGAATAGCGTATCACACATCATTATTTGTTTTGGGCTATGAGGTTATGATTGGTATTCAGAAAGTAATGTCCCACAATTTATTTCTCACAAGCTGTTTGTGCAAAATTTAGGAAATTAATTGACAATGCAAATCATTATGTCCTTTACGCTTCCTTATTTTCTCGGCACGATAACTATAGCTTTCGATTTTTATGTTGTCTAGTGTGTTCTTCTATCTTTCTACTTCTTTCTATGAGTGCCGTTCACAATACTTTCTGTTACTTGATTAATTCCTTATTTTCTTCATTATCTCCATCCACTTCTGTGACCAAATGCCAGTGCTGAAGAAGGGGCATGCAATGACCTTGCCTGTATCAGGTTTTGTCCTGTTTATAAAACCATTTTTTTTTTCACACAGTGAACACTTGAACACGCTCAGGTCCGTTTCTCCACTTTCTGTATGCTTACATCTCTGAACCCAGCCAACAACCCTGCTCCTAAAAACTGCAAAACTTCCATAGACAGCAAAAAGATGAGCACAAACATTCACCAGTTTCATTTTCTGCAATCAGACATTCTATAACGATTCATTGTTTGTAATGCAGATTGTCATCATATGCCATTTTAACATATTAGTGCAGCTGTTCTTTTTGTTGGAATATGTTAACATTCTTTATATAAAATGCAAACATGTCAAATTGAAGTTTGCAGAATTTCTTTCTTTTTTATTCTCATAGAAACAATATGCGGGGCATATTTTCCCAATGTCCCTTGGAATTTTGTAGTTAATGAATTATAAAAAGACAGAATTGTTAATGAAATAACTTGTTTGACCATTGTTATATTTTGTTGGCAGATATTGTTACCCGAATATATCATCATGTTATATCATGTACAGTAGAACCTCGCTTAACGAGCACCTCTCTTAACGAGTAATTCATATAACGAGCAAAACCAGTTGTTAAAAATTGACTTGGTTAACGAGCGACTGTCACATATCACTCCTGTCACGTGCCGGATTTAAGGATTTTCCTTAACTCTTTACAGACGTTTAGCCAGTATACTGGCGATTAAGTCTATCCCTTAAAGACGTAAAGCCAGTTTACTGGCTCATGATGGAGACACTCTAATTTTGTTCCATTTGTAGGGAAAACGAACTTTTATGAACAAGTTTTTTAACAATTAGGATTAACAACAGGATGTACTTTCATGTGCGATGTTCATCGTGGTCGGTGTATTATTCTGTGATTTAAAAAAAATTATTTAGATGGAAAAGAATTTGTACGTGATTTTTCTATACTAAATGATACGGGAAAAGGTCTAGAGCTGTTCATACTGCTTTATCGTTGTTGAATCTCTGCCAGATGGTGACAACAGTCTTGATATTATGATTGATATCTAAGGGACAAATCTACTAGCGATAATTTAGTTTAGGATATGAAAATTTCACAAAATATTTCAATTAGATCAATGTTTCGATCAGCTGTTTTTCCGGTTTTTGGTTGTTGTGAAAATTGACATAGCATACAAAAATGATTATAATATCCAAAGTATTTATAATAATTTTTTCAAATAAAGACTAGCTAATACATAATTGAACAGAGAAGGCATGTGTATTCTTAGAATTGGATAGCAGTGCTGTTGAACCAGTAAAAAAATAAGGTTAGCACACAATTTTTTATGTCAAAAATTTTCATGTGTGTCTAACATCCTTGAATGTTGTGTGATTTTAATAATAATTTGATGTTATACTGACATATTTATTCTGCACTCATTTATCTTTAATTTGATATATTATAAGTCCCGATACAGCCCATACGTTTTCTTCAGGAAGGTTTTAACTTTGTCGTGTTGCACTAAAAAAATTTCGCTTAAAATTAATGCTGTCCAAACCCAAGAAATAATGCCGTCCTAAAAGAGTTAAGAACCAACAGCACTCAGAAATAATTATGTTGAGTCGTTTGGCTCGTATTGGTCTAAGGGATGCCCCGTGGCCAAAATACGCTCAACTTATTTCTGGAGTAGGGCAACTCAAGTTTGGCACTACAAAATATATATATGTATACGAATACAATATTCCTAGGCACACTTGGCTGGACACCCCCACTACTATAAAAAGAAAGCCCCCAGGTTATGATAGTTTACTATCATAACCATGTTAACACATACAATACTTATTATACATACACACATCAAAGATAAACACTAAGCAAGGTGAAATAGAGACACCTAAGTCAGCCATGAAAATGAATGCATGTAATCAATTCAACTTCTTTTCATCAATAAAAGAATAAAGTTTAGAATGTTTGTAGGATCAAAACTCAGAGCGACGACTCAGATATTGAAACAGCCAGATGGTCCTGACTAGCAACACAGTGTCATCCTTGGAATACTGTGGAGCTGTGGGGAATAGAGCATGATAATAACACAAAAACTGGCACTTATCAGAGTTATATTGTTGATGCTCCCCTCAGTCCATGGTGATTTGACTGTAGTTGACTCTGGTAGTTCTGCCTCAAGTTGATCTGGTCACAGAGGAGTACCTCACCATCGAGGACACAGAAACTGTGTATGGACTCAACAAGTCTCTCCCACAGGTCAGGTCACAAAGTTGTTTCGGAGCTCAACCAAGCTCCTGAAGACTGGTACACTCGATTATGGATACTTCTTCTTTTTCTTCTTTTGTCAAAATCTGCTTGTGCCGCTAGGCATCGCAGTCTATCAGATGATCGTCAACCGAGCCAGGGCGCGCTCAGTCGCTTCATATGCCGTGATGTTATGAAGTCTCAAGTTGTCCGTGACTCCTTCAATCCATCTTCTTCTTGGTCTTCCCCTGCCTCTTGTTGTTTCAATTTTCATGTTGTATGCTCTTGA